GTAAGGAAGTAGCAGTATTTTTAGGTTACGGTACGGTGTGTGTGTGTGTGTGTGTGTGTGTGTGTGTGTGCATGCCACTGCCCTCTACTGGATAGAAACAGAACTGCTCAGCAGTGTGCCATAGACTCTATGCTGCTTACACCTCTTGGAGTATCTCCTTTAGATCAAGTGTCAGGGACCTGTGCATCTGGAGCAGGAGAATCTGAGTTCTACTCTTGCCGCCACCATAGGGTGCACTATAGTATCAACAACTGAATTCCTCGATAATCACAGATTTGGTATATCTATCTTGGGTTTTACTATAGCACCCATCAGCAGTGTATCTAATTGCTCATATCTATATAAACAGTCTCTCTCTCTATATATACACACCTCTACCTTGATATAACGCTGTCCTCGGGAGCCAAAAAATCTTATCGCGTTATAGGTGAAACCGCCTTATAGCGAACTTGCTTTGATCCGCTGGAGTGCGCAGCCCCGCCCCCCCAGAGCGCTGCTTTACTGCATTATATCCGAATTCATGTTATATCGGGTCGCATTATATTGGGGTAGAGGTGTATATCTATATTGGGAAGATACATTAGGTAGGGTCTAGATGCATAATTCCCTCCTCACACAACTATACTTCCTCCTATTCCTAATCAGATGAAATAAAAATGAATCTATCAAAACATATTACTAATAGAAAATACAAACCAGTAAATTAATTTTTTTACCACTTTGGAAGTCAATGATTTTAACCTTATTTCTAACATTCTTAGAGCAAATTTCTGCTCTCAGATCAGCCTGGTGGATCTCAGATTCAGATAATTTGCTCTCACTACACATGTGTAGCTCCATGGGCATCAATGAGGCATCCAGAACATTAGATTTGGGAACTGCTGCCTGGATCTCAGAGAAGATTTCTGCTTGTAGTCTCAGAGCAGCACGTATTCAGTGTTTTCCTTCATGGATTCTGTACATCCCCCGCAAATTAACCCAAATAATGCAAACATCATGTGACCTCTTCTGGCATTGGCTCAGCAGGGTGGCATTGAACAGCTATGTATATTTGGCACACTGTGGCTTGCACAGTGTGTGTGAATTTGAACTCACTAGTTAGATCACCCACAATGGCTGTGCACGCCCACAGAGATGGTCAGTTGTCCACATCCATTGGCACCAGTAAGAACAATCCTCTTCCGTAACCAACTCAGTGCTTGAGTCAGAGCCACCCCTTTCACTCTCTTCCCCTTTTTATAAAGTTGTCAGATTTTATGCCCTTCTCTTTAATAGAGGGGTTATCTGGGGGAGGGGAAGGGAGGTTGTTTTTGGCTGGAATTTCACAAGGCACAGGTGGTACAACCAGCTGCAAGATCTTTAGTTCTTGTTGGCTGTACACCAGCTTTTGGTCTTTTCACAGTTCTTTCAGTGGTGGTGGAGGAGGAGGAGTGGCAGGAAGGGACAGTGGGCCCTTGATGAGGTTGTTCAGCATTAGCAGCTGTCTCAGGTTGGCATTAAGCTCTGGAACAGTTCCTCAGGAGGTGTTTATGCTGAACAGTTCCCTACTGACACTGGACGCAGCAGCAAAAATGGAAAGGCAGCTAAACCTTTGATATATATTGGAAAAGAATCTACACTAAGTCATCCCCATCTCTCAATTTCCCAGAGCAGCCCATCTTCAGTGCTTCCATCTTTTTCACTGTAAGCTCTTTGGGGCAGGAGCTATCTTTATTTTTTATTCATTGTACAGCACCAAACGCGATGTTGGCACTCAGCAAATCAGGACAGATTCTGTCCCCTGTACTCACACTGAGTAGTCCCCCTGTGGAACTCTTCATGGGGCTAATTGCTCACCAGTATCTAGGAGGTGATTGAAATCTGGCCCTGAATGCAGGGATCCCTGGAAGAGTTTGTTCCTTTTATTTACACATCACTGGTTGAAGCACGTTAGTATTCTCTTCCCTTTTGACAAGGGCCAGTTCTTTATTGGACAATGTCACCCCTATTCTGCAATCCCTTGACTAGTGGCATGTTGCCATTTTGTCTTGGCAGCTACAGCCACATACCTGCCATGATCCAAACAACTAACAAAGAATGGACAAGGGGTAAAATTTTCAAAAGCGCCCATGTGACTTTGGTACCTAACTCCTATTTTCAAAAGAGATTTAGTTAAATCTCATTGAAAGAGTCACTTTTGAAAATGATTCTAAGCATCCCAAGTCACTTAGGAACCTTTGAAAATGTTGCCCTACCTAGGTTTTAGTTTCTGATGCTTAGAAGACTTAAATTTTTTTCCTATCCAGTGTGTTTTGAGAAGGATTTATTCAAATGCTACAAAAATCAAACGTCTCCTCCTCCTCCATTAGAAAATTAGCAAGGTAACAACCAGCACCTCTAAGAATTGATGTAAAAAGCCTTGATTCTTAGCATCAGGAAAACCGACCTCCTTCCACATACAATATACAGAATGTGTGAATAAAGATGGAATGTAACATTTGTGAGATCCAGAAGCTCATGACAGCCACTCAGAGAACTAAACACATGTATTATGACAAAATCACAAATTGCTGGCTTGGCAGATTCTCCGGGAACAGGCGGGGAAGGTGATAGCTGCTCGAAAGTCAGAGAAGAGATCAATATTGTATAAATCAAAACAAATATGTGATAGGTTCTGAGAATTATATGAAAAATTAAATACCAGGGAATTTGAGGCAAGTGACTCTCAAATTTACTGGGCTAGTGCGACAGTCACTGTGATAATTAGAGTGGGGGGGAAAGGAAGTATAGATTTAGTGAAGAGGAAATTGCTGCTGATGATACTTAGCACTTACATAGAGAGAGAGAGCCTTTAATCTGAGGCTCTCAAAGTGCTGTACAAAGGAGGGCAGCTATCATTATCTGTTTCACAAAAGGGGAAATTGAGGCACAGACAGCAGAAGTGACTTTACCCGAATCTTCTCAGTGAGCTGGTGGCAGAGCTGAGGATAGGTCTCTTGATTATCAGCCCAGTGCTAGCCTTAGCCACTAGAGCACACTGCCTCTGCCACTCACACTAGGAGATGGGGAATCCACCAGGCCAATAGCGCACTTGTACCTTTAGGATACCATTTAGGAACATTGATGCTGAGTTGCCCGTGAAGGGGGAAAAAGCCTGTTACGTGCACACACCTTTGCATTTGAAAATGCCAGTTGTACGAGCAGCTTCCCAGGTTTCAGACACAAAACTGGGGTTTGAACGTACGCATTTCTGAGCGTGCACAGAGCCCTGGTTCCGTCTGTTGTTCAGCATGGCCCTTAGCAGTTTCCTCATGATGTTTTGGACTCACGTTTAAGGCTCTCTCTCAAGCCTGGGCTTATTGATTAGGATTGTTGTTGTTACAATGCCTAAAAATTGAGCTAGGCATATAACAAGACAGATGGGGTTCCTTACCCAAAGCGCTCCCAGGCCAATGTTATATGTGATGTGTGAGGCCTTCTGACGCTGTGGTGATTGGGAGTTCTATGCATGGCTAGTTAGCTAGAGTGCAGCGCGTCACTTTGCCCCTTTCTGTGACTAGCTGCACAGTATTCATTTAGCCATTTATTTCAACTGTGCATTCTTGGGGGTACATATCCCTGATTTTAACCCCCCGTGTCTCCTTTTCCAGATACCTGCATTCTGCTTGAATCAAAGCACTGAGACTTGATAGAGAGGTCCATTACCACCAACTGTGATGATTCATTTTTGCAGTGCAGTGAACTTCAGCCCTATGCTGGGGGCTGACTTCAAACCTGTTCGCTGCTAAAGTCTGACGTAAGTGCTATGTTGGGAAGGACTTTAGTGGGGTATATACTTTGCACTGGCCCTGTGCACAGAGGTAAAGTTTACCCTAAATGATTATCCACTCAGGACAGATTAAATTGAGTTCTCATTATAAACCTGGAAAGGATTCCCTAGGGGCAAGCAGTCTCTTCTTTGGTTGTCCCAAAGTCCCAGCCAGGTATCTGGAGGAAATATCCCCAAGATGTTATTCTTTATTAATATTAGTATTTATTTAAAATTTGTATTGCAATAATGCCTAGAAGCCCCAATTAGGATCAGTGCCCCAGTGTGCTAGGTGTTATATAAACATATATGAAGATACTGTCCCTACCCCAAGAAGTCTAAAATCGCAGCCCCATCCTCCTATTGCCTGTTTCTTTTCAATTAGAAATATCTGAGTGTGAAGCTGAGCTTTTAGAAAATATTATTTATAATAAAAAACACCCCCCCCATCCATATTTTCTTCACCACAATTTTTTGTGCCCTTCCTTTGTGTCTTTGACACACAACAAGTTGAGTGGTCTGAGCTGAATTGTGCCTCTTTAATACAAGAAATAACAGCAGACCTAGCAGAAAGCATGGATTTTCCTTTATTATGAACTCAGCATATAACATGTTAGAAAAATGAACATATGCCAACCTAAGCAGACTGAATTTCTTTCACATTTCTCAAGTAACTTTACCTAATCCTTTCTGCAATCCTTTTAAATAAAACCTTTCCTTGGTTTATCTGTAAGGCTATTCTTGCTGTGTTAATAGTACAAATGTTACAGATGAAGTGTAGAAAACAGTAAAGGAATGTATGGGAGCATAATAATATAATGTTTATGAAGCATATTGAGGTAGCCTTGAGGTGATATAGAAGTGCAAAGTTTTATTATTATTTTATTATAGGTAGTTCCCAGACAAATCCAGGATTGGATGAATTAAACTCAAATAGAAGCAACAACAAAGTCTGGTTTCAGAAATTCTATACTTTTATATAAAATAATCAATTGATATCTAAATATATATTGCTGCTGCTTCTGACCAGGAAGTCATGGGAGGAGATAAGGTATTTTTGGTTGTATCTGCTATGTGTATATTCATATAGGGCAAATCCAGTTTCTCTTTCCAATGGCAAAATCTTCACCTCTAGCAAGGAACTTCTGATCCTAAAGTTTGAATTTTGTGGTGAGACGCCTCAAGAAACTGGAAATTTGGGCTCCCGTTCAGCAAGATAGTTAAGCTCATGCCTAACATTAAGCATGTGAGTAGTTCCATTGACTTCAAGTTAGGCACAGGCTTAAATACCTTGCTGAACAGGGGCTTTGATTTATATAAAAAGGAGGCATCCATGGACTCCAACTATTGGAGATGGCTGTGTGAGTTACGGTATAAACAAAACAGGCCAGGACCTCAGCTATGGAAATTGACAAAGCTTCCTTCAAGTCAGTGGAGCTGCCTTGAACTAGCTAAGGATCTGGCCTAAAAGAATTGTGACACCCTATTCTATTCTGTTCAGGTTCTTATACTGTGCTCATCACAGCAGACTCTGAGCTTATAGCCTATGAGCAACTGCTAAGCAATCCGAACAATTTCTCATACATGGATTTCTTTAGGTAGTTGCGTTGTTATAGTGCCACATTTTTGTCTTTCCCCCTTGTAGATTTAGTAACAGCTGTCCCAAAAGGGAACTTCCCATTTCTTATTCAAAAAACACCTCTGAAGTGTGAAAATCTGGAAATAAATAGTTAATGGCTGCAATCACTTCACTCATGGTATATTTTCTTCACTTAGTGTAACCATGCACAGGTCTACTCTCAGCTACACTGGTGTAAACCTGCTGTATCCTAGAGCTACAGTGATGTTCGTGTAATCAGAATTTGGCCCAGAATGCATCTTGTTTGCTTCAGCCCCCCACTAAGCTCTTGTTGGTAGGACGTGATGCTTCTAGATCTTAGCAGTGCGTAGCTCGGTAGCTGAGCACCCAGAGACAGGAACATTTCCCCTGATATCGTTAGCGATGCCATGCAATGCATACAGACACAGGGTGAATATCCCCCGCTCTGCAGAGACCTATGCAGCACTTAAATGTCTTAGGGGGCTTAAGTGGGCCTTTGGGTTTGCATGGGCCTTGTGCTTGCTGTCTACACAGTGGTAGGTTTTCTCCACAAAGAGAAATAAAACCAAAGCAGCCTGATCGCTCCTTCTGTTCTGGATGAACATGAGGGATTGTCTCATGGTGACAGACACAATCATTAGGGACAGAACTTTCTCTCTCATTTTTCAGGGTTATAAGGGGATTTTTATACATGAAAAAGAAACAAAACAAACATAATGCAAGTGTAGTGAATGTTCCTCAGCTACTGAGAACCCCTTCTCTGCCTTCTCTTCTCACTGAGTGGCTCAGAACCTTTTCAATCCAAGTGGCAGCTATCATTTTATTTTCCCCTGTCCACAGAATTGGGCCCTTTAAGGATCTCTGGAAGAGCCACGCTTCCCTAACCCCTAGTGATTTCAATGAGAGTTGAGAGTGCTCATTATTTGCCAAGGTCAGAGTCAAAATTTCCAAGGGAACCATCTGGTTCTGGGGCAGGGGGAGGCTGTAGTTGTCAGCACTCATGATTTCTGCCACCCATGGTGTGGAATATTGATGATAATGATCATGAGATATACTGACCACAAATGCATAGTATGGTCTCTGTCCATAAAGACTTACTTGGAGTCAGATATGAGCCATCCCAGTGTGAGAGTGCAATTAGGGGAGAGAATAAGGAGATTCCTTACCCCTCTTGGATCCTCGAGCAGGGGCTGTTCAGAATCCCATACGGGGAACACAGTCCCTGTTTCATCCTAGTGCTCTGATAGGAAATAGGCACCTGAAAGGCTGTGGGATGAGGATGGGGACGTGACTACCATCTTGTGCATTGACTGGCCTGCAGAGCTGGTCATATGCTGGATGAACAACAGTATGATGTTGCCCAGAAGTCCCCAAGATTTGTTTCACCTGAGTCAGGCAGCGTTCCCCCTGGAGAATTCAGCTGCAGAATGGACCTTCACTGCACTTGAAGGCATGTAGGGCAGAATTCAATGGGACTACTCACGTGAGTAAGGTTTACTAATGTGAGTAAGGCTTGCAGGCTTAGGATCAGGCCCCTTTTTTGTGTGTCTGCATGTAAAAAATATCTCCACCCTAATCCACCATCAAGATTCCTTTTTTAAAATGAACCCATTCTCATCAGACCATGGCAACAACAACAACAAAATCCAAACCAACAGCAATAGCAGCCCCCCCCCCCAGACCGCTGACCACCTCACCCAACCATTATCTCTTGCTGTGAACTAAAAACCAGCAGCCTCACTTGGTAATAGCAACAACAGAAATTTGCATCTGGGCTGACAATGTGTATAGTGAGCGTCAGCCCGTGGGATTTGAAATTGGCAAGTTAGAGCAATCCTCTGGAAAACCTGGACTTACAAGGGAAATGCTGACAAACCCTTAACTACAGCCACACTTGCTCTATGCTCTACCGCGTGTCAAACAATGAAATGGAACGTCTTCCCTAATGGTTGAAAATATTTTTGGCTCTGCCTTGTGCTAAAACACTCATTTGATCTTATACGTCAAATAATTTTACACTTTCAAAGCAAATTTTGTTTTGTTGTTACTAATTGCATTCAAAAGACAGTATAATGTATGTGGGATCTTATAAGGATACAGAGTAATGATAGGCATTGCAGGATTGCACATAGCACAATATTAAATAAGCAAAAAAGGGCAATAAAAACCTAAGAGAAATTTGTCCAACGGAGCACTCATGATTACCTTATCAACCTTTGTGTGTGTGTAACATCCTTTATAAAGCAATTAGACACCTTCCAGTTTTCAAACACCTGATAATTTTAAAGTTTATTTTATCACCATCAAGGTTGTATTTTCCTTCCTCGACAAACTGACCCTAGGAAGAAGAGGAATAATGGACCAGGAACCTATAATAGCTATTGTGTGTTAAACAGCCAACTAAAGGGCAAACATAGTTGCATAGTGGAATCAATCATTGAACCCATCAGTGAGAATGACCCTCACGCCCCCACCTTCTTCTCTATGCCTAAGAATTTGCCATATTTAATCTTTAGGCTCTGAACCCAAATGACCTTTGAAAGTGAATTTATGATCATTTCATCACACTCTCTATTAGCTCACTTTCTAACAAATAGGAATGAGAAATCTATGGCAGAAACTGCAAGAGTACATTTCCAACTAATGGTTAAAATGTCAGGGTAATAATGTACAAGTGCGTTCTGCCCTCAAATACAAACATCAAGTGCAGCTTTACAAGGGCTGTTGCCGTTCCACTTTAGTTAAAGACTTGAAAGCTTCCTTCTTCCCCTTGCAGGGTTGCAGTTTGGAATCTGCAGCAGCTCATCATGGCTCCCTTTGCCAGTACTGTACTGTACTTCATTAGGCAGCTCTATTTAATGGCTTCAACAAAAGCCATCATTTTAGCCCAACTGCCTTGACTAAATTAAAATTTCCAATCTCTGTTTTAGTGTTCTGCAACTGATGTAGACATAAGCAAAACTGGTCAACATCTGCCAGTGGGTTGGCCAAAAGTTCGGTAAAGATGTACTTCACGTTTCTGAAGCATGTGCAAAGTAACATCGTCCTTATCCTCCTGAGAGCTCTCATGATTTTACTTCACCATTTGTTCAGACGCACTTTAGCAGCATATAAGCCATACAGTTGATTCTCCCCTTGGTTGCCGTTTTATCTGTAGTGTCATTTTGAGTAATTGGGGTATGGTAGCTGATCAACTTTCAGGTTTCTCATTGGCAGAAAGGGACTGTATTGGCACCAAGAAAGAATATGATGGGTCCTCTCGGTGCCTGAGCAAGTGTCCCTCTTTTGCACTTGGCTACCCAAGGCCATTAGAAAATAAGCTTAATAAAGCAACTAAGTGTATACATCTTAACTATTCCCAGTCAAGGGAATGCAGATATAGAAGAAATATTTTAAACCAATATGAAAGATGGTAAATGTCCATATTTAGTCAGTGATCTGTGAAAGTTTTTGAATTAGTTTTTAAAGCTTTGTTAAGACCAGAACGCACAGATGTTGAAAACAAGTTCAGATGTAGCGACAGATGGTATTTGATTATGAAGCAGACTGTTCATATAATACAAAGATGCTGCTTCTGCCATACACAAGTAACTGCAGAGAGTGCAGTAGAAATTTTGGAAGGCAGAGCAGTTCAAGAGGTTCTTTGTGCCACAATAACTTTCACATTTTTCCAGCAGTGCTAGAATTGGGATAATTTTCTTCCTTTTACAGTCAACTCTCTTCCCCCCCACCCCCTTTCTTCCCTGTTATACAACAACCTTGCACTGTTCTGGGTTTCTTTTCAGAAGTCAGTCAGTTTAAGGGTAAAAGCGATGTCAGTTATATTGACGGAAGAAAAGCATTCCTTGTGGTTCATAATGACAAATAACATAAATAACATCAGAAATTATATATTTATCTATTTTAAAAGCACAGTGAACTCCTCACTTTACACAAATATAAAATCTTGAGGGGAAAAAAACCTGACTTCAACCAGCCATTCTGAACTAAACACACAGCCACAGAGCATTTGGGTGTTTTATGCTGGGAACATCAGACATTGCTATTTACTGTCACTGCCACCATTTTCTTGTTATTGCCCAAAATACTCTCCTCAATGTGAGACTAGAATAAAGCTGTGATT